ATTAAAAAACCTCCAACTTAGTTTGTGGCCAAGTGCCTGTGCTTCTTTGTATCAACAGACATGTGTGCAGATATCTTAATTTGAAAGCAATAATAGCGCCAATGTCATTTGCTATTATGTATTGTTTACGTTGAGAACAATACAGAATAGCAAATGAATGTGATCTTGCAGCCAAACAAAGCACTTGTGAAATGTTTTGTGGAACATTAGATAAAAATGTTACGTACTTATTTCTTATCAAGTACACCTTCCAATAATGACGTCCAATTCTAGTATCATCGTTTATCACTCATGGGAGTTTACACTTTGAAGTGTCAAGAATGGTAAGTAGTTGATCATTTAATTCATGATTTTGTGAAAGTGGATTGTAGAATTATTTATATATATATATATAATCTCTTCTCAAACCGAATATGAAATGTTCAATTCATTGGACTTTCTTGTTAAGTTTTAATTAATTTGACTGAAATTATTCTTCTTTTTTTTAAGTGAAATAATTGAAAAGTGAGATTTTCAGATAATCTAATTGACATTATATATATATATATATATATATATATTAAGTTAACTAAGTTTAAATTAAAATGTCTAAATTTCATAAAATCAATTATATTTTGTTGATTTCTTTCATTTACAATGTTTAAAAAATAATAATAATTTTCTAGAATCAAATAGATATGACGCCTAGTCAAATGGGAAGGCTGCAGGTTTTCGTTGGAGTAACCAGGACCAAAACAAATTGCCTTGCTAATATTTTTGAGACATGTCGTGCCAAATGAAAAACCTCCGCAATCGAAAAGCAAAGCAAAAACAGAAGCCGAAGGGCCACGGCCCCGGCACCTCGAGGCTCCAGCGTCTAGGCTTGGCCACGGTCCGGACCGACGGTTAACCGGTCCGAAAAGAAAATTTCATGTAGGTACCCAATTCGTGACTCAGTGTGAGAAAATTCGCAATAAAATTTTCTCACGAATTGAGACACTGATCACGATCGAGGTGCACATGTCTGGAATCGAAGAGAGAATAAAAGCTTCTCCCGACTTGTCATTCAGCAAACTCAAATTAAGATCCGCCATGATTCAGTCGGGGTGAGGTGACGATCAATGTCAATCATGGGTTAGAAAATCGCGTCGGGTGTCGATCCGAACATACTTGACGTGCAGGAGGGTCCCCTCGGCCCCTCCCCATGTCTTTCCCTCCGCCATCACTCCCCAAACACAAATCCCCTCGGCCCCTCTCCATCGGTCACGTAGGGGTCTGGACCCATGGTTAACCGTCGGGACCGGTTAAAATATCGGTTAACCGATACGGATCAATCCTGGACAGGATCGGTGGTTAACCGGTTAACCGTCGGGATCGGTTAACCGATACGGATCAATCCTGGACCGGTCCACAAATTTTCCGGACCTGTTAACCGTTCCGTGGCCAAGCCTACCAGCATCTACTATCTCTGCACCGCACGAGGCACAGCACAGCGCCGTAGAAAAAAAAACAAGGGGCGAGTGTTTAGAGGGCGGGAGACTGATTACTAATTCGCAAAACGGAGCGAGCCGATTCTCGCTGGTCCTGTTACTCGGAGTTTCGAATCCTTCCGTACTACAAGCTACATCAAGTAAGAAATGAAGAACGATAAGTTCGTAAGGATCACCATTGTCCAACCATTCATCAGTAGAAGCAGCGTCAGCCAAACAAGTTGTAGTAATTCCTAAAGTGATACATTCTTGAATAGCTGTAAGTTTTTTTTCGTTCATCAATAATAATAACAATGTCAGGTAAATTTTTCATATATTTAATGCCACCTATATACTTTTGTAACTGATCTAATTGTCTTTTTGAATTTCCTACTTCTTTCTTAAAAAGTCGATTTATTGTTCCTGATTTTTTTTCCTTAAATCTTTACAATTTTGAAGGTTATTTTCTAGAGAAAAAATCCCAAAAATTACCAATAAATTTAGTCATATCATTATTCCAATCTTCAAAATCACTTATTAAATTTATAGAAGTGAATCTATTGGACGTGCCTCTAGCAATTGCTAAACTTTTGGAAGACCTTGAATAGTATCACCAGATTTTAATCTTTCATATATATATATATATATATAGAGGTGTTATTAAAGTATCCACTTCTTTGATAAATTCATCATAATCATTATAAATAGTAGCTCATGACCTAAATTACATCATTGAAATATTTTGGAGGGTTCAATTTAAATTTTTTCTGAATTAAATTTTTTTATTATATTTGAAATTTTTTCCATAGAAGTACTAGTATTTATTTCTATTGACATGCTATTTTTAATTTTTTAAATTGAAGATTTCGAACTAAATCAGATGAGCATAAAATAATAAAAGATTGCATCGCATTATTTTGATTACATATTTTTTGAATAACACTCTTTTTTTTATTTTTTAATTCAGAATTTGAAATTGGGAAAAAATTATCATAATAATTTTTGTAAGTAAACTCTTTTCCTTTTGCGTTCCGGGGTCGAGGTGTCTCGTCATGTTCTCTTTTTACTCGGGAGGGAACACTCGCTCTCGCGAAGGTATCCGGATCTGTAGTTTCAACCGACTTGCGGTTCTCCTACCCCTTTTAGTTCGTTCCGGGGAGACTGGGTGAATTGGTGACTATGTAGCAGGGTACTCTGTACTTTGTACCCTTCGCTTTTGATCTGAATTCTCAATTCGCTTGGGATGCTTGCAGAAGTTACCTTACCTCACATTAGTTGTAGAAGTTACCTTCCCTTACGCCTTATGTTCTGTTACTTGACCACAAACAGATCCGCCTAAAGCTTAAGTCCTCCTAAAGTCTGGCAAATGCCAGGTTTTCCAGAATTAAGTTAACACTGGTAATGTTTTCTCCTCATTTGACATTAACACTGCGAGTTCACTGTTTTTCGTAACATGGATGATCGTTTTAAGCGTTTCCAATTGTTTTGCAGGTATAATGCCTTGCCAAGGAAAGCCTCGCTAGGCAGGTGCGGGAGTAGTCTTTCTCCGATTTGATGATGGAAGAGTCTCTTTCAAACGACCTGATATTTAGAAACTATGAAAGACTCACATTGATCAAAATAAACATGCTACATATGAACGAAAGATATGAATAGTACCTGAGCTCTTCTGTTCCTGTATAATTAACATGCTTTAGAAATAATATGAAAGAAAACATTATATGAAATGTTCATAGGTCATTCTCATCTAGTAAAAAAAGATTTAAAATGATCAAAACAAAAGTAAAAGAAAAATACGAAATGTACATGGCAGTCCTGTCCCAGCAAAAAAAATCATATTGATCAAAACAATCAATATATATATATATATTCTATAATCTTTCTTTTGTGTTTTTCACTGGTGAGTTATTAGGACAGAAAATTTGGCCGCCTATTTGGGTAACTTAGAAGCACACGGGGTATCTTGGGAGCAAACTTTTCTACGTAACTTCGTCACGACGGTGACCGTATGCCGTCGGCCCACAGTCATACGGTCGGGGTTGTTCTAGCCTGCAGCGTTACTAATCTCTTCTCCGTGGCCACGTGTGCGTGAGAGTTACTTGGGGCACTCTTTTAATAATGTACGGAGTTTTGGCCGGATTGATTATGGCGTCTAAAAGTTGGCGCCAGTTTTCAGGTGGTCAGTGACCACTGGTCACCCTAGAGTCTAGGGTGACCAAACCTTCTGCAAACCTTCTCAACATCCCAACCGATTCACCGAAATCCTGGGGTCTAGGGCCTAGACCCGAGGAATAGACCATGCGACCATGGATGGAATAGATGGATGGAATAGACCATCCATGTTATCTAAACTAGATTCTTCCGCATCGTCCGCTTCTCGTTGACTTGGATGACACCATTTTCGTGCGGATGTTCACCATCACAAAGTGCGGATGGTGACAAAATCAGAATCACAAACAGGGGCGAAGCATATAGCTACGCCCCCCCCACCCCCCCTCCTTATGTCGGGGTGGTGTAGCTGTGGTGAACCCTCCGCACTAGGGTTGGAGGCAGGGCAACATTTTCCTTGCCCCTAGGCATGCTCGTATCACAATACGTATATTTCTAGTATGTACTATATATATAAATGTAAATATAATACATTCAATTTTAGATAGTGTATATTATGCGATATTCTATAATTTATAGAACATCGCACATTATACACAATACATAGAACATCGAGTTTTTTTATGACATATTTCATTTTCATTCTGCTAGGTTGTGATATATATCAAAATTGTCTACATGTAGAATATAAAGTACAAAACAAGGTGATTATGATTCTTATGTTATCCTTTGGTTAAAACCAATAATGATTTCAAAATCATCTCGATTTCTAGAAGGCTACCTCCACTTCCAAAGCTCAAACAATGATTGCTGAAAGATGATAAATACTTCAATGTGATTTAAACAAAATTTCACACAGTTGTGTTCGATGGGGATAATTTGGAAAATTTTGTCACATACGTTGTTAACCACACCCTTGAACAATTTTAGTTCTTTATTTGTTCCATTGTTTTTTATACAAGACTATATGTATATTCTGATGTTACATTTATGATTTATATATATATATATATACACACGTATAAGTCCTGCCCTGTACCGGGGCATGCCTTTTCGGTTTTGGTCAAAATCTCCGATGCGATCTCTGTGGAGCAGAGATCGCCCATCGGCTCCACAAACAAAGAGAGGGAACCCTCGCGGGTCATTGATTTGTCGTTATGACGATAAAGTAATGTATCGAGATAGAAAGCTACGTTGGGGCTTTAGGTCCTCCAAAGGTCCTGTCCGGGTAGGCCGAGATGCCCAGATGGCCAGTCAGTAGGCCGTTCTCTTGGATTCTGGAATTCACTTTCTCGACACGTGTAATTTCGCGTTGAGTCTCCGTCCCATGTGTACATTCTTTTTCAGCCTTCATTCGCGATGCGAAGTGGTTTTTGATGTCTCTTCTCTGGAGTTCATATAGAGAGCACTACATATAGGGGCCAGATGAGGGTCGAACATATTCATGCGCTGTTTTTTGCACCAAAAAACAGAGGAGAGAGTCCAATTCGAACAACGCCCAATTTGAACAAGCAGCGTAACATTCCATCAAACGTACAATGGAGAATTCCGAAGAGAATCGTCAGAAACTGGTCGATCGGACTCGCCCAATGACCAGTGTCAGTCTGAAATTTGTTAATCCTGGTTCATAAATTTCTTTCATGCATATGTTCACTGACGTATGTTCCCCTGTACGTCAGGGTTTTGTATTCAGAAACTGGTCGATCGGACTCGCCCAATTACCAGTGTCAGTCTGAAATTTGTTGATCCTGGTTCATAAATTTCTTTCATGCATATGTTCACTGACGTGTGTTCCCCTGTTCGTCACGATATTGTATTCAGGAGGACGAAGACCGAAGGTCGAAGGACGACGGCGGCGGGGTCCAAATCTTCGCTTTCAGCTCTCCTCCATCTTGGCTCCTGAACGACGAAAGCGATGATGATGATGATCGTCCGCCACTACCCCCCGCGGAGGATGATGATTAATTAGAGGAGCAAGGCTAAAATCTATGAGCATCAATGTAAAGCCTATCTTCCGGTCTCACAGAGAACAGGAGCAGACACCGGAAGATAGGCCTGTTTTGCTTGTTTCCTCTAGGAGCGGTAACCGTGAGCCTCGATCTACGTTCTTCAATTCGGTCGGGACAGTGCTTTTGAGCTTCCAGTTTTGTCCTAGATGCACAGCTTCGGCTTTTGCCATTCGTGTGATGCTCCTCGCTCCTTAAAAGAGGCATGGCTTGGATCGTAGTTGAAGTATACTGATTACATGTGCAATATATGCAGTACATGGCCTCCCAGCTTCTACAGGCCTCTGGCACATCACCACAGGCTTGCAGGCATGGTCTGATGGGCATGTTCAGCTCGCTACTTTCAGTACTCGTGAACCTTGAAATTTCTTCAGTATCGACAGTTTTTATCGACATATGTTGCTCCTAGAAGTTTGTATACTACGTCCATGGTGACTCCAATCTCAGATCGAGTTAGCGGAGCGGCAGATCACGGCGCAGGATGTCATTTTGTTAAATATCGCCCTCTGTGTTATTTCTACTTGGATTGCAGGCGAGCTGATGAAGATCCTACCATTGTTTATACCTTTGAGCAGATTCTATCCGTCGATCAAACACTTGGAATCGATCAGTTTTTGACTACCGCCAGGTAACAGACAACTGGAAATGAATCCCTATTCGCTAAGGGTGGCCTCCGGCAAGAGGTTGCCTCTTTTTGCCTTATCTGCCGTTCTCCGCTAGTATTTAGTCACAGCAACAGCCTTTGGAAAACATCTGTCTCCTGCATGCCGGAATTAGCGTCTTTTCGAGGTCATGATGACAGGGTCGAATACGATACACCACTGCATGGGCTCCCCACGTATTGTAAAACAATAGTCGTAGCATCAGCATGCACTGCATTTACGTCCTGAACTCCGTATCGCTTTGGACATTTTGTCGGCGGCCGCCTGTCTAGTTGCCGGCTCTTCGACGTCTTGCAAGCTGTCTGTATTGAGCACACCATAACGATCGAAGTGGACATTGCGACAATATCAGTGCGCAGGAAGTTCTGACATGCTGTTACGTTACTACGAATTAGTACGAGTAAAGATCGTAATCTGCGCCAGTCTGCCAGTCTACGCTCATGAGAAGTACGAATCCAGAGAACTTGGAGTCTGCCATTCCCAGTTCTCTGGATTCGTACTTCTCATGAGCGTAGATCTGCTAATTTCCCATGCAGACGTCCGCCTTGCTCTAGCGAATTCATCTGATTTGTCCGGATTCTCGCTGGCTGCTACGACATTTGCATGGACACAGCTACAATTATGGAGTCTACGTGTGTGCGGAAACAGGACTTGTACGTGAGTTTTCGTTACATCGACACTGTGCGTGATCGACTGTGAATGATGAATGATGTAGTGTATTACAAAGAGAAGGCTGACATTCTACAGCGCATCCGCAAACCCAAGCTCCCACACAGTGATGGCTCGAATCCATCTTCAATTAAACCGAAGGATTCTGCTCTCCTCGTGTCGCAGTTGTGATTCCGCAACCTCTGCACTGAGAAGCGGTCTCCACGAGTTCAGCTCGACTGTCGGGATCTCGATCAAGAGCACCCGATAGCATCGTTAGGTCCGAGTTGTGTACTGTGCGGGATATTAAACTTGTTCAAGCTTACGCGTTTACTTATCAACCCACTTCGGACGTGATCGTATCATCACCTGCGACCAATTAGTTCCAGACCTATCTGGACGGTTGCCAGGTCGAATGTAAATGCTTGAGAAATGTTGGCGTTCCCATAGATATGTAGATCGATAACTGTCGCTGTCTTCGACTAAGCAAATTTTCATGATCCGCCGGGAAGTAAGAGAGACTTCAGCTTTAAAATTAGCCCACGAGCTCTCAAATCTCCCAATCCAATGGAAAGGGGCGATCCAGACGTAGTTCAGCTCCCCTTCTCCCAGTATGTTTCAGTCGTCACTGAGGTGATCAATGCGGGTAACAACAGCAGTCGGATGTCCCCAACTTTAGATGACTTTAAGTCAGAACAGATGTTCACGAATATCAAACAAGGATATCAGCGCAGACTAGCGTTACAGGGTGCAAGATGAGAGAAACGTTCTCTGTAACATTCCTCTTATTAACATTCGAACGGAACAAAGGATAACTAACTACTCTTGGGCATCCTCGGATCAAGGTCAGTTGAGTTGTACAGTAAACAGAGGGAATTGAATTTTATTGTTTGATGCGCATTTCGAATACGCGTGGGAATGGAAATTATACTCACTTGCAATTTCATCTGCTGTTTCAAAACTCTTGCAGTCTAAGCTTGGGTCACTTGTTTTTCTTCTTTGATGCGCGTTTTGACTCCGCTTCGGATAACAAATACTTTTCCTCCTCTCAAATTTTCCAATCTCCTCACTTGCCGTCTCATCTAGAGTTTGAAAACTTGTGCTTCTAGTCTCGCAATGGGAACATTAGCATCCTCTCTCAGAAGCCACAAATTTGAACTTTTGTGGAGGTCGTGCTCGTTTTCGAATGTGGTGACGGGGGCCCTGCCTCAGCTGCTACGAGAAGTCACTCTGTGTGAGAACAATTTCGGAAACGTGTGTGTCATTCGGAATTCTCTCGGATTTCGGGGCCGACTTCTCACATGGCTGCGGTAGTGGCATTCTGAGAGGTCCACGATGGAAGGACGACGACCTGCAACATCTGAAGATCTGTCGTTTTATTTCAATTCTCAACCATACGGACGTCACGAACAGGCCACGTAATCAGGTTATATGTGGAATAGGGCGTGCACCCTTAGATTCCTTTCTGTGTCACGTGCATGTCTGTACCTCTTCTCGATACCATCGCTCGTTAGCTGATAATTACGTGATTGGTAGCTTTGTGCGCAAATTCGAGATTCTTTTGGTTTTTAAGTGTACGTATTATTCAACTTCGTTAGAAATCAGCTGGGCATTGCATCTATAAAGAGTACTGTTCGCGTGTGACTGGACATCTTAAAGTGTGACTGTAGCTTAATTGAAAAAATAAATTGCAATGATAAATATCGTAATACATATTATCTTGATTATCATAAACCATGACATTTAATTGTTGACATGAGAAATGTATATTTTTTAATCTTAAAATTTTGTCTATGTTTCAAGAATAAATTAGAATAAAATTGAATATATTTTTTTCCTGCATAAAAATATTCAATATATAATATTTGAAATTATTTAATTAAAAAAATTTTACAATTATAATAACTTTAAAATTATAAATTTAATTTCATATAAAAAATGAGTATGTTCATATATTTAAATAAAATCTAATAAAAAAACATTTTTTAATAATAAGGAAATATTTTTTCAAATTGACTTTTTAAATTATTAGAATTTAATTTTTAGAAATTAGTTTTGATATATGAGAATTTTACTAAAAAAGAAAACAGTTATTTTCAATCAATAAAATCAAGTAATTCATTTCTTACAGGTAAATATATTAAAATTATAATAAAAAATATATCTATTAACATATCATTGTGACATCTGATACAATTATTAAACCTTTTAGCACAACATTAAATAAATTTTCTTTTTTAATCATACTATCGAAACATACTACTCATTACTTATTCTTTTTTTCTTGGTTGACAAACCTTGAACAAATTATATGAAGATTTGAGTTAAATTAATGTTCAAAAAAAATTTGTAAAAGAAAGAAGTACAAAGAAACCAACCATGTGTGACGTAATCATGCATGTAATGTGAAGTATAGGCTTTAGCACTGACACGTCTCAACAACTCTGCGGTGCAGATATCTCGGTAGTGCGATCCACGTCTTGATATCTCATCGGCGCAACCTGTAAACATCTTTAGTTAGTTTGAACTGAAGTAAAGCTTATTCAAATTTTAACTCTAAACACCAAAGTTTACCCTAGATTCATTGGTCATTTTGTGATATTGAAGTATCACACAAGTTGGAGTTTACATAAAATATGAAAATACATCATGTATTTCAAGTGTCACTATTGCGAAGATATGTATCATGAGAAAAACAACTCACAAACACACCAGTGTTACCAACCTTAATAGGTGATCAAGAGAAATTTGAGACAATTTTTTTTATTAAGAAACTGATTTGAGTCCATAAGTATCCCAAGGTTGAATATTTGGTTCAATCGAAAGGAAATCCATCATACATATCAACTTGAAAACCAGTTAAAAATCTAACTAATGCACCGTTGATAGTTCAAGAATTTGAACAGTTGTGTAATGAGTACGTTCCGTCTTAAAAGGAATGAGTTTTGTAAACATCTTTAATCAAATAGAACTAAAGTAGAGTTTACTAAGAATGTTTATATAGTTACTTTAGTGTGCACAAGTCATAGTTGACACGTCAACATATCCACGTGTTTTGTAGGTAGAAAGTAAGTGTGTTAGTTGAGAACGCGATATCAACCATCCGTATGCTTGTTAGGTAAAGATGAGTGTGTTGGTCAAAAGCGCCATGCCAGCAATCCATGTGCTTGTTAGGATCGTCCGCCATGTCATCCATCCACTACAATTGGAATGAATGATGATGATAATAATATTTTATCTCCTTGTACTTGTTAAGATTAGCTTTGTAAAGAAGAGTAGAACCATTGTTAGTATCTCTCATCTTCAGAATTTATGTTTTTATCTTCGAGTGAGATTCTCTTTATTTTTTAATATTACACAACCCTGTCTTGTAAGACCGGTTTTTGTATGTGTGAAATAGGATTAGAAGTAGCCAATGAGATTATAATGGTTAGGTTAGGTTTAACTAATTATGACTAAGTTTAGCTAAAATGTTCATATATGACGAAATAATTAAGAAAATTCCAGACGATTTGAATAAGTCTAACTATTTTGTTTCCAATCAAAATCTAGATTACAAGGATATAAGACTTTGACTATATGATTAGTTTGATTGGTTTAACAAAGTAAAGAAACTTCATTGGCTAGACTAAGTTTATTGTTAATTTAATGGCAAATGAAAGTTCTAGAAGTTGAAAAATCACAAATGACATGTCGTCATTTCAATCTAGGGATTAGGAAAAATCTAAAATTTTTAATAAGCTAAGGATATTGGGAACTAGTCAAACTTACTATGATTTATTTTTGTAAAACTAAATTACATATAAATTATCATATGTTATTGTGGTAAATTTTCAAATAATAAATATAGAGAGATAATGAAGATACTCTTAAGCTAGTTTGGAGAGATCATGGAGAAGATTTGAACAAGAGAAAATTAACGATTAGATATATTTTCATTCTTTTACACTTTAT